CCGTAATATTACGAAGCTACGAGAATACTTTTTGTGCGCAAAGAAAACAATAATAACAAGAGTTACCGTCTTCCGCCAGCATGCGCGTGCTTTATCCTGAACATAAACAGCACTGATTATGTTGATTACGTTCTGGGGTTCTCTCCAAAATGTTGGAAGACGGTAACTCAGGGAGAAGAATTGCTGAATAATTTGTTATTATTGTTTTCTTTGCGCACAAAAAGTATTCTCGTAGCTTCATAATATTACGGTTGAACCCCTGATGTCACATGGACTATTTTACAGATCTCCTTGCTACGTTTTAATAAATGCCGTTTTAATGCAAAATAAACATGAATGAACATCTCACCCCTCACGTAATCGCTCAAGTAGTGTTTCAACCGTACAAAGACGTCATTAAAACAGCTTGTAAACAAAATGTCACGTAGCATTACATTTACCTCCGGCAAGTCATCAGTGTCCACAGCTCGTTATTTGCTAGAGAAATTAAGTCTAGTAAAGAGCACTTTATGCAAATTATTTTTTTGCAAAATATTAGACTATATACTTAATTATATTTTAGTTATTTATTTTAAGTTATTGAAGTTTGCATTTTTGTCATTTATATATTAACATTTAATATAATTTGAATAATGAATAGATTGAATTTAAATAAGCTACAACAGTCAAGATAACAGGTTTGCCGATTTACATTTATGCATTTAGCAGATGCTATTATTCAACGCGACTTAGAATAAGTTAAGCAATTCATAATTTTTTCCTAAATTGATAAATAAAGAAAAATGATACATTGAATCGACATTTCAACATGACTAAGACCGGCTAATTTCCATGCTATGTTAATCATACTGTATGTCTATGTAATAGTTGTCACTACACTTTAAACTTTCATGGGGCACTATAGCGCCACCTATCTGTGGAAAGTGCCTGTTGTTGTTTGTGCAATTAATTTTTACAAGTTGTTAGGATGTTCACCTGTGTCTGGATGACACTTGGTTCATTTGCCCTTGTCTGATGCATGCTTTTCGTCATGCATAAAGCATCCGGTCAAACCTCCATCTGTGGAAAATGCCTGTTATAGTCTGAAAAACTTTCTGTAAATGTCATCCTCACTTGTCTGATGCGTGTTGCAGAATGTATGAAGAACCGCCATCAGGATTATGCGATCAAACTTCTACATGCTCTTCTCATGCATCACATCAGGTTCATGTTCTCATCATCTGTGTTGCATTATGAAAAGCAGACCTTCCTTCATGTTGAGTCACATCCTCATATGATCTTCATGAAGAACCATCTATATCTGAATCATGCAAAGTCTGATCGGGGAATTTTTTCCTTTATTGCTGCGTTCTGTCGGGACGTTCTTTGCTCAAACAGACTGACAGCGATCAAACCGACTTCAATTGTGATGACGACACATCGGCGACTGAGGTGTGTAGTTTAGTGCACTTTTATTCTCAATAGCTTGTGTTTTTGTGCTTTTAATGAGTGTATAACAGTCTCACGTCCTCTCTTTCAACTTATTACTCATTATAGTCTGACTTTGAGGACAGCTTTGACTTGAGGACACAGGTATCGAGAATCTATGGTGTTTTGAGAAGGCAGAAACCACTTTAAGGTGGTTTGATGGTCTTATATGGATTTTATTTTGAGCTGGTCAGGCTGAGAAACCAACTAAACCAGCAAAGACCAGCAAACCTCCTTAGGCTGGTTTGAAGCCAAGAATCATCCATCATCACCATGTTTTTGCGTTTGTTTTCAGTTTTTACTTGTAAAACGTTGTAACCAGTAGCAGAAACCACTCTGGTGTGGATTTGGTTGCTGAAAGGGTAATCTAATTAATTACATGATGTGCTGATTAATTAATTGCAAAAATGTATCACACATTTTTTTTGGCTGAGAAATTACCTTTCAAAAGATTATCTAAAATCATTCTGTTAAATGAGAAAAGCATTGAATAGACATTGAGTCATTGAATCATTCACTCGACCAATTCATTCAAACAACTGTTAGTGATGTCTTCATTATTTAATGTATATGTTTAAATAAATATTTTGTAAATTGTCAACAACAAATATAAATTGTATCATTTAGAAGTTAATTTAAAAACAATTAAAATGTTTGCATACATTTTTTAAAATTTGACTGTTGATTATTATAGTTAAAAATAAATAGTAATTTAATTTATGTTTGGGCTCTGTTGTTAATTGTAACCTTATAGTAATGTAATGAATGTTTTACTAATTCACGATTTCAGTTTCAATTTTTTTTATTTACATTTAACTAGTCAAATTAAAAACATAACTACAACATGATTCAAGTAACTTTTTCTTTATTAACCATATAGTTAGTTATAATCACAAATATATATTATAATGTATTATAACAATTATATGTATTATAAGTTAAATATATATATTGTACTTATATATGTACTTATATACATTATAGTCTGACTTTGAGGACAGCTTTGACTTGAGGACACAGGTATCGAGAATCTATGGTGTTTCGAGAAGGCAGAAACCACTTTAAGGTGGTTTGATGGTCTTATATGGGTTTTATTTTGAGCTGGTCAGGCTGAGAAACCAACTAAACCAGCAAAGACCAGCAAACCTCCTTAGGCTGGTTTGAAGCCAAGAATCATCCATCATCACCATGTTTTTGCGTTTGTTTTCAGTTTTTACTTGTAAAACGTTGTAACCAGTAGCAGAAACCACTCTGGTGTGGATTTGGTTGCTGAAAGGGTAATCTAATTAATTACATGATGTGCTGATTAATTAATTGCAAAAATGTATCACGCATTATTTTTGGCTGAGAAATTACCTTTCAAAAGATTATCTAAAATCATTCTGTTAAATGAGAAAAGCATTGAATAGACATTGAGTCATTGAATCATTCACTCGACCAATTCATTCAAACGGCTAAATCATTCAGAAACGAAGCAAGTGACCGTCTTTATGAATGAGTTACTGACTCGCTCGATTTGTCCAAAATTTACAGTCCTAGTTTTAATTTTTTCCCTTATTTTTCATAGTTTCATAAAATCGATTAAAGAAGAAAATGTCTTTATCAAGCACAGTAATCTCATGTTGGAGGGCTGTCAACGGATTAATTTTTTTAATCCAATGATTCATTTTTATCTAATTAATTACATGATGTGCTGATTAATTATTCGCAAATTAATCACACTTGAATTTTGGCTGAGAAATTACCCTCCAAAAGATCATTCTGGTAAATGATAAAAGCATTGAATAGACAAAAAAAGTAGCTTTAGAAGAAAATAGTTTGATTCAGCGTTGCATAAATAATGATAATGCTTATAAATGTTTTTTTATGAATATTGGGGGGGAAAAATGAAATGATACTCTAAATATGAGGTGAGGGGGCAGCAAGTCACTGCCTTAATGAGTGAGTCACTGAATCATTCACTCAACGGCTGATTCATTCAGAAACGAAGCAAGTGACTGTCTTTATGAATGAGTCACTGAATCATTGACTCACTCGATTTGTTCAAAACTGAATAAATTGACAGACCTAGTTTTAATTTTTTTTTTATTTTTCTCTTTCTCTAGTATAGCTTCATAAAACGGATTAAAGGAGAGAATGTGTTTGTCAAGCACAGTAATCTCATGTTGGAGGTTTGTGAAGCATGAGGTGACGTGTGTTTGGGGTTAATTACTCATATGTGACCCCGGACCACAAAACTAGTCATACGGGTCAATTTGAATAAATAATTATAAGCTTTCCATCCAATAAATAAGCTTTCCATTGGTGTATGGTTTGTTAGGATAGGACAATATTTGAAAATCTGGAATCTGAGGGAGCAAAAAAATCTAAATATTGAGAAAATCATCTTTAAAGTTGTCCAAATTATGTTCTTAGCAATGCATATTACTAATCAAAAATTAAGTTTTGATATATTTACAGTAGGACATTTACAAAATATCTTCATGGAACATGATCTTTAATTAATATCCTAATGATTTTTGGCATAAAAGAAAAATGTATAATTTTGACCCATACAATGTATTGTTGGCTATTGCTACAAATATACCCCAGCGACTTAACACTGCTTTTGTGCTCCAGGGTCACGTATGATCAGCATATGAACCGGTTAATATTTAGAACTGCTGTGAGTCTAACAGCACTTGATTCGGTTTTTAATCAATTCAAGTTTCACAGAAATTCAAGTTTTAAGCAGCTTCACAGAAAACGCTTGTTCCAGAGTTACATTTAACATAGTTATTTTTCTTATTTTTGTTCTTATTCTGAGTGTTTGAAGCCCTTGCATGAATTAAACCAGTTGATATTTCCAGATTGTGTTTGTATTTAGCATAAAACATTAACGCAGCAATGAAAAGCCAATGACATTCGTTTGGAATCTTCTTATGCCCCGCCCCATGTGATCGCTCCCTGTGCTGTGATTGGTGGGTCAGGAGACAGACACGCCCACAGAACTAATGCAGCATCAGCTGAGCGTCAGTGAGCTGAAGAAGTCGTTTCTGGAGATGCGTTGTGAAGCATCTGGAGTGAACGAGTGGGACAGGAGACTGTCATTCACTCGACCAATTCATTCAAACAGCTGATTCATTCAGAAACGAAGCAAGTCACTGCCTTAATGAGTGAGTCACTGAATCATTCACTCAACCGATTCATTCAAACGGCTGATTCATTCAGAAACGAAGCAAGTGACTGTCTTTATGAATGAGTCACTGAATCATTGACTCACTCGATTTGTTCAAAACTGAATAAATTGACAGACCTAGTTTTAATTTTTTCCCTATTTTTCTCTTTCTCTAGTATAGCTTCATAAAACGGATTAAAGGAGAGAATGTGTTTGTCAAGCACAGTAATCTCATGTTGGAGGTTTGTGAAGCATGAGGTGACGTGTGTTTGGGGTTAATTACTCATATGTGACCCCGGACCACAAAACTAGTCATACGGGTCAATTTGAATAAATAATTATAAGCTTTCCATCCAATAAATAAGCTTTCCATTGGTGTATGGTTTGTTAGGATAGGACAATATTTGAAAATCTGGAATCTGAGGGAGCAAAAAAATCTAAATATTGAGAAAATCATCTTTAAAGTTGTCTAAATTATGTTCTTAGCAATGCATATTACTAATCAAAAATTAAGTTTTGATATATTTACAGTAGGACATTTACAAAATATCTTCATGGAACATGATCTTTAATTAATATCCTAATGATTTTTGGCATAAAAGAAAAGTCTATAATTTTGACCCATACAATGTATTGTTGGCTATTGCTACAAATATACCCCAGCGACTTAACACTGCTTTTGTGCTCCAGGGTCACGTATGATCAGCATATGAACCGGTTAATATTTAGAACTGCTGTGAGTCTAACAGTACTTGATTCGGTTTAATCAATTCAAGTTTCACAGAAATTTAAGTTTTAAGCAGCTTCACAGAAAACGCTTGTTCCAGAGTTACATTTAACATAGTTATTTTTCTTATTTTTGTTCTTATTCTGAGTGTTTGAAGTCCTTGCATGAATTAAACCAGTTGATATTTCCAGATTGTGTTTGTATTTAGCATAAAACATTAACGCAGCAATGAAAAGCCAATGACATTCGTTTGGAATCTTCTTATGCCCCGCCCCATGTGATCGCTCCCTGTGCTGTGATTGGTGGGTCAGGAGACAGACACGCCCACAGAACTAATGCAGCATCAGCTGAGCGTCAGTGAGCTGAAGAAGTCGTTTCTGGAGATGCGTTGTGAAGCATCTGGAGTGAACGAGTGGGACAGGAGACTGTCCTCGTCTCCTCGACTGAATGACCCATCTCTGATTAAACCTGTACACTCACAGGAAGTAAGACGTGTGCTTTAGACCGGCCTGTACATGAGATTTGAGTGACACAGATGTTCATTTAACAACAGAAATAGATAAAGCTGCACTTTAACCCTCTGGTGTTTGGTCATTTTTGACCGAAAAAAAATTAGGTTTTGGTTTAAATCAGATCATCTTAATCAGAATGGTATGAAACTTGGTAGAGCTTTTGGCACGTGCTATGTGAACACGCACACACACACAAAAAAAAAACATGGACAGGGTTTAAAAAGGTTAAATCGATTTGAAATAAATAGTCACGCTTGGATTGTTTGCAGTCAAAAATGTCCAAAATTAAAATGAACTGAAGCAAATTTCATCAGGTAGAAACATTTGGTTCTAAGTTTTTTTGTGATATCAACTTAAAATTTGGAACACAACTAGCTTAGATTTACGGCTTCGATTTTCTTGTAGTTGAAGAAATGTTTTAAATATATATATTTCATATTAAATTTTAAAATAGTGTTTTTAGCTTTCAATATTTACAACTGTGAAATTTGGAAATTCAATTTTAGGTCTATTCTCAAAAATTGGTTATCAGGTAATAAATTGATCATAACTATTCCATAAATATCATTTAGTACCATAAAATCCCCTAAAAATACAAAATATTAAATAAAAAAAAATAAAATATAGTACATTCATTTCATTAAAAATATAATAAATAAATCTCTCCTTTTTGACCGCTACGCAAACAACACCAGAGGCTTAAAGGGATAGTTAACCAAGAAATAAATTCTGTCATCATTTACTCGCCTTCATGATGATGTTTTATCTGTGCAACACAAATGGAAATTGTTGAAGGATCTTCATTCGGCTCTTTTCGGTACAAAAGCACTGTATCATAACGGTTCCAGCTGCTCGTGTTATGATACTGTGATGCTGATTTTTGTCCTTTTTGGGGTCTGTCAAATTGAAACGAGCTGGAAAAGATGGTTTTAAAATGACATGAGGGTGAGTAAATATCATCAGATTGTGTTTAGTTTTAAACTCCCTTCACTTGATTAACTTTTTTGAAGACTAACTCTACTGGTCAACCGGGTTGTGTTAGGCTTGTTTTTCATAATGGAGTGTTATGCTGTTTAACCCAATAAAACAATCTCCTGACTGTTGGATATGAAGCGTTTGTTAGCTTCCTAAGCCGTTTTTTTTTTTTTTTTGTGAATTGTAGTTTTAGTTCGGTTTTGTTTGTTTACAGTCATCCTGTGTGTTTACCATCATGGCACTGATGATTATTCTGCATGATCACTCGTTTTGTGATTTATGAGACATTTCACGCCACCAGCCACTGACACAATTAACTTCTTTAACTAACCCTTCTCTTGTGTCTCTGTGTCTGTAGATGTCAGAGGAGGTTAAAGCCGAACCTGAAGATGTTCCAGTAAAGCCGGATCATTTGGCTGATGGTGTGGAGGTTAGATATTACTGTTTACTACATCATACACACGAGCGTTTTACCGTTCCGTTTGAGAAAAACTGTAGTCATATCATATAAAATTAGAATCTTCAAGGTCTTCACAGCAACCCGTCAAAATAAAAGTTTGGTTAACTTGAAGAAACTGAGACAAATAAATTACTAAATGTAATGGTAGTATTACTACTACTAATAATAAAATTAAAACATGATTTGTTAAGGAATGTGTTCCAGGATTTATTTAGCAGAAAAACCACACAACACCGTATTTCTGGAAAAAAATAATAATACATTTATTTGTTTTTTTAAATATAAAAATCGATTAATGAGAGATGCTTTTGATTATTACAGTTGAATAAAATCATGAAAATGGAATCCAGAAAAATAATGGAGAAAACAGTATTTGGTATATTTCAAATATCATATTTCATATCAATTAATTAGACATGTTTTTTGATTAATAAAAAAATTGTTTAACTATTAAAATGGAAAAAAACTGATTTTGAAAAAAAATAAAACGTAATTTGGGAAAAAATAAAATGGATTTCATAGGGCCCTACATATGCTTAGTTTTCTCTATGGAGGAAAAAAATAATGTTTATGTAAATGTAATATAACCTGAACGTGTTCATGAGATTCACCCTAAATGTCCTGAATTCTGAATTAATTTTTCTGTCTGGAAAAATGAAACTGATTTAGTCAGACATGGTGTTGCGAAGCTCGGAGCTTATTTACAGCGGTGCCAGAGAATCGTGGGAACTTCTGCAGGAATCCAACTTCTGCCATAATCTGGAAAACCCTCGACCCTCTCCTTCAGTTTCCCACCGCGAGCTTTATGAAACCTTCCGCGTCTTCATTGAGCCGCGTTATCTGAAAGGGTTTTTCAGAGGAGATTGCCGTCTGACTGTGAGATGCTCTTCAGGATCGCTTTAATCTGTCTGGGAAACGTCTCGGAGATTAATAAGATGAAATCTAACATAACACGTTTCTGTTGTTGCTGTGAGAGCTTTGGATCTGCTGAAACACTGTGTGTGTGTTTCACAGGTGAATCTGAGTATTTTCTGCTCTTGGATCGACTCCATGGCTGTAAATCCTTTATCTCTTTCTTAAAGAACATCTGCTGCTGTTAATGATTGTCAGTGTTTGTGATGTTTTTATAAATGATCCATTAGAGGCTTTGACTCTTTTCCAGAGCGAGCGGGCGTTTGATTTGTTGATGTATTTGATGTTCTCTCGTCATAGATCATATTAATTTCTTGTAAGACCTTCGTTAAATCTACAAATTTATGTTGTTTTCTCAAGCTTGAAATAGCAGCTGTGAGACACTGAATTATGAAAGAAAAACACACAAGGGTCGTATATCTCACGGCCGCTGGACAGAGATTGAGATCAGATCATACAGTAGAGACGCTTCTGGAATCAAACCAAAAACTGGATTATTAAGACAGCAGCTCTTATTTCCTTTTCCTTTTTTTTTTTTTTTTTAAATGAAATGAATCGGGTCTATTGTTGTTAACCAAAACTGAAACCTTAAACATTTTTATTGCTGTGTTTTTATTATTTTAGTTCAGCTAGTTGCCAAGGTATCATTTCCCATTTTAGTGTAGTTCAAGTTAGTTCGAAACTAGAAACGAAAACTTAATTGAAACGTTATAGACATTAATAGAACTAATAAAAATGACAAAAACACAACAAAATTAATTACTAAAACTTTAACTAAAATTTAAATGAAAACAGAAAAAATTAAATTAAATTCAAAGTATTCATAAAAACTATAATAGTATAGAATATAAATACTAAAATAGCACTGAAATCTACTATATTTTAGGCCGATATTTTTGTCTGTAATATTTTGCATTTTAAGAACTTACTAATAATGTTCAAGTTTGCAGCTAAATAGAACAATTTTTCAGACATTTTATAGGTTCTCTATTTGATTTGGTTATATATTTAGACATTATCAAAGACTACTACTAACTGTGTTATTTTGAAGTGCAAATTTGCAAACAATTTGCTCTGTGATAGTCACACTAGTTTGTATATATATATATATATAAACACATTTTGGAGATAAATTTGTACCCAGAAGTTGTTTAAATCTGAAAAACTATCCCAAAACCTCCTTTTAGGGACATCCTTGTTTGAAAAAAAAAATGCATAAAAATAAAGTAAATAAAGCTTTGAGGCTGATTTGTAAATAGTATAAAAAAGATGGTGTATTTTTCGTATTTCCCATTCATTTCCTATTGGCAGTCATGTTTGAGTGTGACTTTATTGTTTTTAGGACCTCTTTGCCTTCGTGATTTTTTTGTGTTCGTGTAGCCAGTGCGACAAAAGTCACCAAGTTTAACGCCATTCTGATGGTAACGAAGCTAATATTCTGATGTTGTGTTGACACAGGCAGGTGGTTTTGCTCTCTGATGAACTCTGTGATGCTGAATTGTTTCTGTCCCAGAGTTCAATTGCTCCGCTGGTACAGGTGTGCTGCAAGACAGAGGTGGAGAGACCAGAAGAGCCCTCTACTGGTAAAAAAGAGAAGTATATGAAGGCCCTGAATGAGGCCATCGCGATGGGGGAGATGCTCCACATGGAGCATTGGACAGCAGAAGCTGTGAAGGTGTGCAAGATGCTGCGAATGAAGACCTGCTCCAAATATGAGATCAGAAACGCCAAAGTGTTGAGATTGAAAATGAAATCAAGGAATCTGCAAAGCAAACTCCATCTGAAAGAGAAAAAAACAGCTCACAAGCCCAAGAGATTCCTGCTGGAGACCAAGAAGATGAAGACATTCTCCATATCTGAGATCAGAAACACCAAAGTATTGAGGTTGAAGATGAAATCACGGAAACTGCAATGGAAGAAACAACCTCAGAAACCCAAGAGATTCCTGCTGGAACCCAAGAAGTGATGTGCCATGAAGAAGACGAAGACATGTTCCAAATCTTGGATCGAAAACACCAAAATATTGAGGTTGAAGATGATGAAATCACGGAAACGGCAATGGAAACTCCATTTGGAGGAGAAAAAAACAACTTAGAAACCCAATGAAACCGAGAAGATAAAGACATTCTCCTAATCTGGGATCAGAAATGCCAAAGTATTGAGGTTGAAGAGGAGTTCAAGGAAACTGCAATGGAAACTCCATCTAAAGGAGAAGAAACCAACTCAGAAACCCAAGAGATTCATGCTAGAAACCAAGAAGATCAAGACATACTCCAAATGATGGATCAGAAACACCAAAATATTGAGTTTAAAGAGAAAAACAAGGATCATGTGATGGAAGAAACCACCTCAGAAACCCAAGAGATTCCTGCTGGAACCCAAGAAGTGATGTGCCATGAAGAAGATGAAGACATGCTCCAAATCTTGGATCGAAAACACCAAAATATTGAGGTTGAAGATGATGAAATCACGGAAACAGCAATGGAAACTCCATTTGAAGGAGAAGAAACCAACTCCGAAACCCAGAAATTCCTGCAGGAAACCAAGAAGTGATGTGCCATGAAGAAGACGAACACATGCTCAAACTGTTGGATCAGAAACACAAAAATATTGAGTTTGAAGATAAAATCAAGGATCCTGCGATAAAAGAAACCACCTCAGAAACCCAACGGCAGGAGAACCTAATGTTGGTGTCGCTCCATAACAACATTGAGAGTTTTGATCAAGAACATGTTGAAGAAGTGTTTGCAGACTCGTTTGAACGTTCTCAGCTCTTGTTCTTCAAGGAACCTGCGCATGAATCAATCAACATCCAACCTTCCAGAACCAGAGCAGAACCAGATGGAAGACCGACCTCAAGAGAAGATGATCAACATTAAAGATAAAGCAGGTTCTTCATGTTCCCATTGGAACGAGCAGCCAAGGTTTCAAACTTTCAAACATGAGCTGGATCTTGGACCAAACAAGGAGACGAACACATGCTCCAACTGTTGGATCAGAAACACAAAAATATTGAGTTTGAAGATAAAATCAAGGATCCTGCGATAAAAGAAATCACCTCAGAAACCCAACGGCAGGAGAACCTAATGTTGGTGTCGCTCCATAACAACATTGAGAGTTTTGATCAAGAACATGTTGAAGAAGTGTTTGCAGACTCGTTTGAACGTTCTCAGCTCTTGTTCTTCAAGGAACCTGCGCATGAATCAATCAACATCCAACCTTCCAGAACCAGAGCAGAACCAGATGGAAGACCGACCTCAAGAGAAGATGATCAACATTAAAGATAAAGCAGGTTCTTCATGTTCCCATTGGAACGAGCAGCCAAGGTTTCAAACTTTCAAACATGAGCTGGATCTTGGACCAAACAAGGAGAAGGAAGTAGCACAGGAAGTGCATGCACACAGTGCTTCTACAGCTCCTCATATGGAGGTAACCAATCCCAGTGTGCAGTGGGGTCACCGTGTGACATCAGCACTGACTAATGATGGAAACTCTCTTTTTCTTCTTGCTTCTTGATTGGAAGTGTTTGATGAGTCACTGATTAATTACACGTCTTCATCTGAACGCTGCATTATCACAGATGTTGTTTAACACACTCTATTCATCACATCTGCATGTCTGGATGAATTTATTCATGAGCAGCTGGACATTTCCATTTGTTGAGGATGTTTTGCCTGATTTTGACTTCGACAAATGGTTGAATGAGAAACTGATCGTCAAGTCACATTTATTTCTATAGCGCTTTATACAATACAGATCATTTCAAAGCAGCTTTACATTAATAAACAGGAAGATATCATCAAAAATGTATCAATAATGAAGCAAATCCTTTCAGCTGTACAGAAGACAATGGAGTTGTTTTTCAGATCAGTTCAGTTCTAGTTGTGTTCAAATTCGATAGTGTCAGTGCAGATAAGTTGATAGTATTACTGAATATTAATTTGGGTTGCAACTGCAGTTATTATTAACAAATGGGTTACAGCTGCAGTTTCTTGTTGAAATATAAACAGTGTTAGTGTTTGCTTTGGGTGCCCCTCATGATGTAGAATGAGTATTTAGCTTTATAATGAACGGAAATTGTAACAATTATTATTGGAAATGTTTTAATTAATAAGGTCATTAATGAATGTCATGAATTCAATTGATTTGATATCCTTTTTATTGAAATTTAATTAAACCATTAAAATTGAATAAAAATAATTTTAAAAACATTTCATAAGACACTATAATGGGGAAAAAAGTATTTAAAAATTAAAGCAAAAAACAATACTCAATTTAAAAAAAACGATTACACGTAGCAATGTATGAATGCATGATGTTGCATTCAAAAAATCTGTTGGTTTTGTCTTGAATATTCTAAAATGTGTCAGATTACAGAAGTCAGGTTGCGACTGCAGTTTCTTGTTGAAATATAAAGAGTTTAGTGTTTGCTGTGGGTCCCTTATCACTTAAAATGAGTAGTTGTGTTTATAAGGAACTGAAATATCAATATGCCATCATAAAAAAGCTATTCAAGCAGTTCTGGAGTGTTTTCGAGTGATTTTCTGTGTTTGTGAATCAGCAGTCGGAGGAAGCGGTTCAAGATGTTCCTGTGGTTCACACCGAGACCAAGACCATCACGTACGAGTCTTCAGAGGTAACGCGCTCTCAACACTGTCTGATACAGTTTCTAGTGTGCCGCCGTGTGTGTAACGTGTGTGTTTGTGTGTCTGTGTGCGTGTCTGTGTCTGTGTGTGTGTGTGTGTGTCTCTGTCTGTGTGTGTCTGTCTGTGTTTGTGTGTCTGTGTGCTTGTCTGTGTGCGTATCTGTGTCTGTATGTATGTGTGTGTGTGTGTGTGTGTGTGTGTGCGCAGGTTGATGCCGATGGCGACTCGGATGCAGGCGTCTTCATGAGCGCTCAGACCATCACATCAGAGAACAACAGCAGCAGCACCACCACACACATCACCAAGGTCAGACACTCACCGCTCCAGTCATCTGCCTTCTCCAGGCCTGTTGCTTTTCTCCCCATAATTTATTTCTCTACCTCAGGGTTTCCCTGTCTCAAACCCCTTAGACATAAAGTATTTCCAAGTGAAATTTTAAAGGTGCAGTAGAAGATCTTGGAAAATGCTGACTTTAGCCTGATAGCACTGAAAGCGAACGTCCCGCCCTCCCTGCAATCGCCATCCAAAGCCACGCCCCTGAACGCATTTACGCTCACAGACCAGAATACCAGAGACAACATTACTACAATAGGCTACATCAGCCGTTCCCTATCCCCCCGCTCTGCACTTCTAACGAGCTGGTTATCTGAATCAGATGTGTTAACCAAGCGAGACATGCAAAATGCAGAGCGGGGTGCGCGAGGACTGGGAACCGCTGGGTTACATCACGAGTCATTCACCGGTGAGAAAACTTTATAGTACACTTAGTAAAAGCATTACAATACCAGGAAGGAAGATCTGTCTGCACAGCGTGCGTGAACGCGCTGATGACGTATCCTGTCTGCGCGAACAGACAATCATCTATTGCACCTTTAAGTTAATGTTTCAATAATGAATTATTGCGCTACTATTCTATTGCGCTCCATCTGTTTAGCACGCATGCGCGCTGCAGCGCTCACTCACTCCTGACAGCGAAATGGATATGTTTGCATGACTTTCTAACATTTACATAAGAAGAATATACCTGTGACATGTCAGTTATGCACTGAGGAAAACACAACGTCTTATTGGTCACTTTCTAAACAATAAAAGTATAGCGCATCCACTAGTAATTATATATAAATAAATCGGTTTTTACCAATGCAAATATGTTAGAAACGATGCATCGCGATATAAATGACAACTTGTAGCCGATGCACACTTTTTAAACCGATGCATCGCATCGTTAACTTTTTATGCTGATGCACCGAGCGATATATGTATTATTAGTTTTAACTTTAATTATGGATAATGAAGACAGAAATACATTACTGTTGTAAATTACAATCGTACTGTGAAATTGAAAAACATTCATATGATAATATTGCAATCAATCTGTTATGTTACACTACAGGTTATAATACTAGTAATTGTGTTTTAAGTTCTTCACTTTAAAATTTTCAAACCCTCGAGCTTTTAACATTTTAAATTCAAGCTCTTACTTTGGTGGAATATTTTGTCCACAGATATGTTTATGATTGTGTTTGATTGTGTGTTCTGTCAGACGGTGAAGGACGGCATTTCAGAGACTCGCATCGAAAAGAGGATCGTCATCACGGCAGACGCAGACATCGACCACGATCAGGTACATAACACTAAAAAACATACTAACTAGCTTTACAAGCTTAAAATTAAAATACATCATTTCAGCTATTGATTAATTTATTATTTAATTATAAACACATTTTAAAATACTTCTAAAAAGACTGCATGTATTGAGATTCATCGGCCACAAACATTTAAATTACAGTACAGGTTATAATACTAGTAATTGTGTTTTAAGTTCTTCACTTTCAAATTTTCAAACCCTCAAGCTTTTAACATTTTAAATTCAAGCTCTTACTTTGGCGGAATATTTTGTCCACAGATATGTTTATGATTGTGTTTGATTGTGTGTTTTGTCAGACGGTGAAGGACGGCATTTCAGAGACTCGCATCGAAAAGAGGATCGTCATCACGGCAGACGCAGACATCGACCACAATCAGGGACATAACACACTAAAAAACATACTAACTAGTTTTACAAGCTTAAAATTAAAATACATAATTTCAGTTATTGATTCATTTATTATTTAATTATAAACATTTTAAAATACTTCTAAAAAGACTGCATGTATTAAGATTCATCGGCCACAAACATTTAAAAATAGTACTTTTTTTAATATTACTAAAAATATTTATATGCATTAATTGTTTTAAAGATATATTTTAAAATTATTTATTAAAAAAATGTATTAAGGTCATTGTCAGGTATAATTTTTTTCAATATTTCTAAAAAAAAAAATGCATTAATTGCATTAAGGTTCATCAAGACAAACTTTAAAATATTTCCTCAAAAGTATTATCAAGCATAAACATTTTTTTTTTTTAAACTGCATTAACTCTGTTAAGGTTTGTCAAGCATTACTTCCTTTCATCTTTTTAAATAGACACATTTTCTGTTATTTATAAAAACTTGTTAATTTTTGCTTGTATTATTCCTTTAAATTGCCTGTTATATGATGATGACCAATTCTATAAACTAATCAAATCTTATAATCATTCAATTATCAAGCATAAACATTTTTTTTTTAAAAACTGCATTAACTCTGTTAAGGTTTGTCAAGCATTACTTCCTTTCATCTTTTTAAATAGACACATTTTCTGTTATTTATAAAAACTTGTTAATTTTTGCTTGTATTATTCCTTTAAATTGCCTGTTATATGATGATGACCAATTCTATAAACTAATCAAATCTTATAATCATTCAGCAGATCTTTATGTATTTAATGCACTTTATGATTGCATGACAATCTTGGGTCTTTAACCGTATAACCTTCAAGCAGAACATGATGATTGATTGATTGATTGATTGATTGATTGATTGATTGATTGATCGATCGATCTGTGGTCTCTGTCTCCCTCTGCTGGTGCATTGTGGGTCAGGCTCTGGCTCAGGCCATTAAAGAGGCCAAAGAGCAGCACCCAGAGATGTCGGTCACTAAAGTAGTGGTTCATAAAGAGACAGAGATCCCAGCTGCTGACGGTGAGGCGTGAATCTCGCAGGTAAGAGGGTTCGAGCTCTGCATGCAACCGCCGCTGCCGCTCTGGTGTCTAACGCTTCACGTGTTTCATCATGCTTCAGCATCAGCCTCCTCAAACCACTGCCTGTTCCCAGAATGCCTTTCAGTGCTGACCTCTGACCTCATGCTGTGTCTTGTGTGGCGCTCGCAGCTTCATAACCGCATCAGTGACGTGTGAAGCATGATGGGAATGTTCTTGAGCGTTTGAGTTGTGATGCTGTGTTTCTCTGCTCTGCTTTTGTTCACAGAAAACTGAATTTTCCCTGTTGCGTCGCACAGAACCAGTCACACGTCTGGGTCATATTTTTCACTTAAAAAAAAACCATTACATTTTATTTCAAGAAAAATC